ATGAGAAGGCTGTCGAAGTTGCTTTAGATGACTGAAATAAAAAGTGTCATCACTTCATCAAACATTTTTTATCTATCTGAACGTCTATAGGTTTTCCTACACATTCGAGGGTGTGTCGTTAGGTCACAGGGCGGCGATGCGCGCAGAATAACAGCGCAACAATTGCTCCAAGACGTTGACTCAGCGAAACGGCAGAGATGCACCTGAAATAGAACGCGCTTACTGAAAGGAAAAAGGAGCGCAATTGGTGTCGCTAAGATCAGTTGTTGCACAAGTGTACCGCTTGCATCGCGCCGTGGATGTGTGCCGCGTCGCGCCGCGGATGTGTGCGGCGTCGCACCGTGACCTAATGACAGACGACTGTGCCCTACGACTAATTTATAGTCTTTTCTTTCAGGACGTCGCTCGACGAGAGCAAATTGATCAATCTACGCAGTATCGCTACTCTGGTGTTTTCATAGGTGAGGAGACTTTATAGATGGACTAATTTGCAGTTTTTGGCCTCACCTCCGTTTATCACGGGGAATTACTGAATATCACTGATAAAGATGAGCGTTTCCAGATATATTGGTAGCGGCACTACTTTTGGTGGTCGTCTCCATAGCCGTGTTCATGTCATCGTCAAAGATCCCGTTATCGTTCATCGTTTACTTCTGCCTTGCTCTTACCATCGTCATTGCTGCTATTGGTCTTATAGGTACGCACATTTTCAGACCACTCTTTGCCTAGGATAGGCAGTTAAGACCTTAGTTAGGCTTATATTTGCTCTCAAAGCCAAAAATCGCGATAAAAATATTTATGAAAAGGAAAGGTGGGAAGTGGAGAGGGTAGAGGAGTGTCCAGGTAGGCGAAGGGTTCGGTGTTTGCGACGAGGGGTGCGCCATCAATGGCGTGACAATGCTTTGAATGTGCTTCAAAACCGCTTCCGGTTCTCAGACACGCCCAGCGCCAGCTCGTAGAAGAGGAGCTAACGGCAATTTACTTAAAATTAGGCCATTACCGCCATCTCCAAGTTTTCTAAGTGCACTGCTGCACTGGTTATCGTAGCAATTGAATTGAATTGCGTATCGTCGCCGTTGGCATTGTGCCCGTGCTTACCACCTTAGCCACAGCCTCATCGGCAATTTATGTTTGGGAGGTTTCAGAGTTTGGCGATGCATGTAGTGATGAAGTAATGACTCAAGAAGAAAGTGTGTGCATCGATTAAGCGATTAAGCGATTAGGCGACTGAGCGATTAGGCGATTAAGCGATTAGGCGAGCAGATGAGGCGATAAGAAAAGTGTACGTATCGACTAGTTTCGCTTCACCCATTGAGCGATCGCTTAATTGCCTGATCGCCTAGTCGCTAATCGCCTCCTCGCCCAATCGCCTAATCGATTCGTATCTTTTCCCTTGTTAAGCTAATTCGCCTTAAAGCGCCCATATTCGGCATGTACGACTGCCAACTTTGTAACGCTGCTATGCCGTATTTTCGGTTCACTCTGTCAATTCCAAGGGTCGAAAAAGAAGAGTCCATTAATGGGTTCCAATCGTTTTCATTCGTTTTTTTTATTGACATTTGACACCGGTCCGTTTGACATACTTATGTCCATTCTATTACATATCAAGGTTATTGCAAAGCGGCCTAGCAAAGATAACGACTATTCTTCAGGTGTCCGTTTTGCTGACGAAAGCGTCTCTACCGTATGTGTGAACTTATGGCGCCGACGCATTCAGTTGGTAAACCTTCTAGAATTTCCCTTCCTGTAACGTTTTCTTCAGAAAAACCTGATTTCAAGAAACAGTGCAGATGCGCTATTTTTAGGTGCGGTACTGATCGCGCTACCGTTTGGTGTGGCGGTTTGTGTGATGCCGTTGTGTATTCTCGATGAATGTCCCACCACACCGTTGATGCCAACTCGTCTGCTCTTCTCGTACATCATGATTGTCGCCTTATTCGCCCATTGCAATTTTTCACAACTCGGAGCCTGGCCCAAGACTATTCAGTGCATAATCGTCGGGCTTATTCATATCTCGGCTGTCTACTACTGTCAAGCCAACATTCTCCGACTACTCCCACAGGTATGGTTTATGCTTGGAGAGGTGTTCATATAAGGGCTTTGGATGAAACACAGCTCGAAGCTCTTAGGGTAACCCTTTCTCAAATACGCTCTTTTAGGCTATGTTGGCTGTCTCTTTTTTGGAAAATATTTCAAAGTTGTTCCGAATTGTTTTGCAATTTTGTCAAAGCAACGACTTTTATCAAATTGTGGGCTGAGTGGTGATAATGGAATTGTGGATTGAGTGCTCGCAAATAAAAAATAAGCAAAGAAAACCATCGATTAATCGCTAAACAAGGATTTTCCTAGGAATAAGGAAAGGGCGGAGCCAGACGAGTTGTACGAACTTGCTGGCTCCACGATTCAACCAAACCGCCCATAGTTGAACTAACCGCTACGACTTAATCCACGTTGCATGTTATGGGGTCATCGTAACTCGTTCAAACGCTAAAATTGGTCGCCAGAGCTGCTGGTAAATAAGCATAGTCGTCATTGCGTCACTTACCGTGACCCGCCATATTTGCGATACGCTAGACTACTCCATCCCATCTCTGATTAGATTCTCCACACGACTACTGCTGGATGTTGCATTAAGCTCATATTTTAGCCAAGTGAGTCCAAGTGTTTAGAAGAAAATTGTAGCATTCGCAAGCAAATTCTCCACAAAGAATGGTGTTCAGGATGTTCACGGCGGTTTGCACTGCAGGACGCAGTGATTGCTTAGCTGATATCTACCAATGCAGCCAATTGACACTGACTTTCAGCTTACTGATATATCAAGATCTTCAAAAAGCTTTGAAACATTCAAAGGAAACTCTTCTTATTCTCTTCTTATGAGCTTGACTTTTATGAGCTTTCGAAGCAACAATTTTTAGACTGCTAACAAAACCATTTAAAGGACTGCAAGCTTCCTTGAGAACTTGTTGGAACGAAACATTCAACACTTATTGAAAGTCAAGCATTGATTTTAGCAGCCTTTATTTCGGCTACAAGTGGATAGATTTTATTAAGCGTACGTCCAGAAAAGAAATCTCGATCAAATCTCGTCCAGGTCAATCAAGAAATCCCTGCCTCTTTGTCGATTGACAAATACCAGACTCGTTGGGGGATTGAAATAGTGACTTACGCGTCCGGGTTGAAGTAAGCGGGCCAGCCCTTTCGGCGTTTCTTCCTGGGACCGTATCTGAATTAGGGAGGAGATGCCCCGAGTCGACGGCCTACCTCATCGTTCCTTGTAACCGCCTTACAATTTTGTTGATTACCTACAAGGACTATGCTTAAAGAGAGGACGGATCTGCGAGAGAGCGCAGGTCCGTCCTCTCTCCAAGGCTTAGTCCTGGGGTAAGCAAACCAGCCCTTTTGGCGGAAGCTGCTGGACCTAGCTGCACCACTTCGTCATCACTCTCCTACCGTACCGACCGAGTTCAAGTAGTCCGTCGACCTCGGAGACCCCATTCCCTCCCCAACATTCAGCATACGGCCAGCAAAAGCGCAAAAGGGCCGGTTTGTTTACCTTATCCGGGTACCACAGCATTTTATGCATATTGAGGCCACCTGGCAATTTTGAATGATAGCGGAATACGCGGCGCACTCCGAGAAAGAATGCTCAACGTCGACTTCCTTTTTATCATTTTATGTTTGGAGTAATCATTTCTGTACCTTGAAGTTGAGGACTTGGTAGGAGGTGGTGAGCTAATTGAATTAAGGATTCTTCGCGGAAAAGCTCCGCCTCTTAATTGCCTAGCAAAACGCTCCATTACCCTAGAAAAACGATACCCTTAGGCCCCTAGCCTCATGAGCATAGCAAAAAGAACGGAACATAAGCGTTAGTTTCGATAATACTAATCCTACACACAAGACAAAATGATCACTCTTTCCGTGGAAGATTCCTTTAAGGTATCGTTTTCTGTGGTAATGAGGGCGGAGCTTTTTCCGTGGAAGATTCCTTTAACTGGTAAGAATTTATCGTAATAATGTATGCTGCCAGTGGGTTAAAATTCTACGATACTTCAGATTTCCGAAAACATCAGCATCAAATTTTAAATAATAACAAATGTTTATGCTGATTTTTTTCGTGACGACAGGAGGCTGAACGATCGATGATACATGAATGATTTGATTTCATTGGACAGGAGATTATTTCATTCGTAATTGTTTGATGAATGGATTTAATACACAGAATTGTTACGGTAACTGGTTGTTTTTGATTGTATCGGAGTTAAAACTGGTACAAACAGAGGGTTTTCTGTAGAATTGTGCACTATAGGAATCTCATCTGTCCCCTCTCCAAACATGCGACCTTTTAATCCTACTGAACAAACGAAATTCGGGCTGCTCGTATAGAAGAGAAAAACCGCCCATCTACCTGGGGACCTGCTACGGAATCAAATTCTTCGTAGAGCATGGTAGCGGTAGGGGCTATTGCGCTATCACAGCGTGGGGAGTGGGAGAATGAAGACTGGTCGCTAAATGCTCTCCGGTAGGTGTTGTTAATGCTCTTAAAGGCAAAGCCCGAGATCAAACTGATCTCTTATTACGCTTGTGGTGGCAGTGGAGATGTGGAGTGTAACGACAGTAACGAAGGAAGCGAGAAGAGACCGTCAAGAAAAACCAAAACAGAGTTTCCACTCCAGAAGCAGCGAAGCGAAATATGCTTTGTTTTGTGGGCGGGGTCAGTGCTGTTGGGGGGGGGCCAATGTTGCGTTCTTGGGTCTTAGTGCTTCGGCCTTACCAAAACATATCGACATCATCCTACTGCTGCCGATTACAAACCATGGCATTTTTCTCGGAGAATGCTTAATGTTGGCGAAAAATCCCTGACCTCTTCTTGACCTAAATATAAGATTTATTTTTACCACCGACATGATCTTGGGGTCATTTTGTTTTCCATCAAAGCAGAGAGTTAGCGTCAGAACGAAGCTGCAAGAGTTATGGTAGTGTTTTTACCAAGAATAAAAGGAAAACGGATGAAGCATTGGGCGTTGATCAGTCCCATATTTGGATGCGCCACGCATTTTACATTCGCTCGGGATCGTTCTGGCATATCGAATTGTTTTCTATACAAGGAATTGTAAGGGCCAGCATATATAATTCAGTGCCCTTTATCCTCTCAGACAAATTTGATACCAATTTTCAACCTTGAAGATGTGGAAATTTGATTGCTGCACATTTAGCATCAATCAGATCAACATGTGCTTGAAGCTGAACCTGTAGGAAATCTATAACTTTGCTTTGTCTTGTTTTTTTCCTTTGGTTTTCTGCTTTTTTCTAACCCCCGTGTGCGTGGGATCACAGGATGCTGGTTCATAGGCCTGATATCATGAGGTTTCGAAAGTGTATTCGTCAAGCCGAAGGTTTCGCTGATAACCCAATATTCTTGTTTTGAGATAAATTATTAACTGAATTTTTCGCGGTTACTGGGGCGTTCGTTAGCGAAGAAAACATAGTTGATTTTCGAATCGACGTGTATATTTGTTCAAACTAAAGGCAAAATAGGAGCCATTGTAGGGTTACGCTCATTCAAAAGGCTAACTTTAGAGAATCAGCATCTGTTCGAGACCAAAAAGGGTCATTCGTGAGGCAGAAGAGCCAAGCCAATCTAACTGCCTTTCAGACGTGGTGTGCGAATGAGACAAGCGCTGGATTTTTCGACACTTCGTTCGCCTCATCGTTTTTCATTTGGGAAATGTTGCTCGATGTGGTTCTCTCGATTATTCTTGTCGGCTTCCTCAATTACCAGGTACGCATACCGTAGACATCGAATTTTACGGTAAATAGTTCTATATTTTTAGTTCGAAGCCGCTTTTCGGATGTCCTTCTATGGAGACGTCCAGGCAAGACGGGACACTCAGCGCATGCAGGTACCGTTACAAATTCATACGTCTCCCCTCTCCCCCCCCCCGCTGGGGGTTATTTATAAGAAGATTAGGTGAAGCTCAAGATTGAAGAGGATGGGGCGGGGTGTGGGTTCCAGTTCACCTCCTTAGATCATCACCTAAAATTGGGATACACTCATTGCTCGAAGCAAGCTTAGGACTAAGCCTAGGCCCAATCATAGGCTTAAGCATAAGCCAATGTGTAAGCATAAGCCTAAGCCTAAGCCTAAACCCAAGCTAACCTTAGGCTTCAATGATCGCGCAGCTCTGGTGACCTGACCCATAAGGAAAACCGAAAGTCTCCCAGATGGGAGTAGGATTTTCGGTGGGGGGGGGGTATGTAGATTCCCTCTGCTAAGACACCTTTCCACGATCTTCTTCTTGCTACATGCCTTAAATCGGATCCTTTTCCGGAAAAATTCCGTAATTCATGGCGGTCATAGTGGATAGTTCAAAGTAGGATAATCCATGACACTGATTTCTCCATTACTTCTTCAACTGGAGCGGTATTGAGGGACATTCGATCGAGTTGTGGCCATTTTCGCTCAGAAATATCCGTTTCCGAAAATGAGTGCGGGATTTTGCTGCCACACATAAAACGCTCATTGGGCATAGGAAGTCAGGATGTGAAATCGAACGGCCTGTTTTCCAGATAGTCCGAGATCAAGCCGACTGGTTACTCAACAACGTCATTCCTGCTCACGCCGTTGAAAGTCTCAAGACGGACACTAAATACAGGTATATCCTCCTGCTTTGTTGTTCTCCAACTTTTCATACCCAATCAGGGCCATTCTGGGTCACATCAAAGGCAGGTAGTGTGATGAAATGGATGCTTCGGAGAAGGAAGACATCTCCACTATCGAGGAAGATAAGGTTTCTGAGGGAATATGACGTGGTGCCTTCGAGGCGAAGGTCGGTGCCAGACTTTGCGAATCCAGCGAATCGCGGGGTACGAGCGATGCACCAGCTGCATGAACCATGCTAGAGGAAGGAACTATGTACCCGCGGTTTCAAAATGTCCAGCGACTTTCCCACTCTCTCGCGCCCTCTCGTTCTCTCACGAGGGCATTGGAGAGCTGGAAAGTGGTGCGAACTAGAGGGGCTCTCGTCCCTTCCAAACACTGTCAATCCGCTGGTAAATCGTTCGATCTGCTGGCGCATCGTTCGAACCCATGGTGCATCGCTAGTACCCCGCGATTCGCTGAATTCGCAAAGTCCAACACCGTCCAAAGTGATGTCTAGCGCAAACAGAACAATCGATTGTCTCACTATCATCAAATTCTTGATTTTAGCTTAACCATTTCAGTGAAAATCATGAGTCAACGGCCGTTCTATTCGCTAGTATTACAAATTGGAACGACATGTACGAGGAAAACTTCGAAGGAGGACGTGAATTCTTGAGAGTTTTGAACGAGGTGAGCTTTTCTCCGTTCAGCTTTTTTCTTCAGTGAAAATAAATCACTTTCCCACTGAGCGATGGGTGGCGCAGTTGTTTATCCTAGTTTTTTTGAGAATAAAAAAATAATCTTTCAAATCGTGGAGCATCTCTCACGTAACTATGACTAGTTGTGGGTGCTTTCAAAATCAGTCAATGAACGAGTAAGCCATGTATTTTCCTGCCCGTCACCTATTGTCAGTTTCAAATCTATCCTTAATGAGCGATTTGAAGCTCCGTCGTCACCACTTTTCACCCTAAAGTTGGCGATACCGAAACTCTCTAGGAGCCACCAAGGAGAGCAAAGGCAATTGCCGCCTAGCATTGCTAATCGCTGGCGGAGGGCGATACGGACCAAAGTAAACCGTCGCGTTCATACTTTTCCAAAGACTTCACGAGTCCCCAACATAGCAATTAGCCTTAGGCTCCCTCAATGCGGCCTCCCCTCCCCCATCCCGACCAAAGGGCAAATACATTGTCTTATGAAGTGAACAAGCCTCTAATTTTGTCTATTTCATGCTTTTTTTCCGTGAATCTTCACCAAAATCATCAAAAACACTTCAAAAATGGCCCCTTCCCTGATCTGCAGTCACGACCCCTTCAACTCCCACAAACGCGATCTTCGTTCGCATTTTCCAGAACATGAATAGTCATGCTAACACCAAAACAAGACCCTCTTCCGAAATCGCAAACCCCGTTCGAGTAGTGGGAACGGACGGTTGGTTCCGTTCCAGAACATCAAATTAGTGCTGTAGATCCGTCAACCACTTATATGACAATCACTTCATTATATAAACCAGATTTGGTGCGTCGAGTTTGTGGGCGGTGTGTGTGGCGTGTATCGGTCCTCCGGGCAGAGTCAACCCTGCGTTGCGCAGTTTTCAACGGCCACGTTGCGCAGTTTCGCCCGATTAGACACGTTCTCTCGCGCGAACATTCACACTCGCATGCTCGAGCCGTCTGCGTCTCCGCCCATACAGCGTGCGTTGAGGATCTCTCAACGTGCCGTTGCGAACTGCGCAACGCAGGGTTGACTCTGCTCCAAACCGACCGCTCACAAAACCAGGGAGTACGAAGGGCAACACTTCGTGATGTTGATGTCATGATCATGATAAACCCACAGCGGCTATATAAACACCGATCGAGCACACTCAGTCTCATTCTACATGGTGCTGCCGTGGCAGCCGGATGAGGGGGGAGGGGTAGGGGAAGGGGGCAAGAAGGAGGCTGGAAGGGAGGGAAGGGGGAGAGGAGAAAGGGAGGGAGAACATGGTGCTGCTGCGCCGGAGAGAAGGGGTATAAGGAGGTATAACACATTCAATAGTGAGGTGGTTAATGGAGTACATCATGCTGCTATTCCGTGGTTCCTCCCTACCCTGTGATGCGCGCGATAGCGGGCGGAGCAAACCTGGTAAATAAATAATAAACCTTAATAATAGACAGAAAAGACCCAACGTAAGGTGGAAGGAGCTCAGCCAAGGTGCATACTCAAGAAACAGTGACAATGCTGAGTAGGAACATCAGTAGGAAGAAGCCAGATTATGGAGTAGTCAGCTGATCCAGTCGACAAAGTGATATAGGACGCTGGATGCTGCTGAAATTAGAAGCTATTGATCTTGGCAAGGAAAGCCTCAAGATCGTCAGAACCCTCACATTTTCCCGAGCAGGGGATTTCTCCCCCAGATCCCCCCGCCTTCAGGTGGTTTTTCCCTTTTGATGAAGGTCACTTCCACAATGAACAGCGATGAAACAACAGCGAAGCGCAATTTCGGTTATAACATTAGCTGCAGTCATACTGCTATCCTTATTTTCTACTGAACTATTTTGACATGTCTACCGCCTCTCAGGGTACAGAGGAGCAGGGAAGGGGAAAGGGAAATCGTGGTGTACGGAAACTTTCAAGCCAACCGATCAGGTCTCTTGCATCTATGACTCGATTGGCTGATGCCCGCACGTACCATTACTCTCCATATCTCTTACTAATTCCTGTCTTTACCCAACCTGGCAACAGAGATTATGCTACAGTCAATACAGAATGTCGATGTATTACCATAACTATAAACAGTCAAATTTGCACTCATTCGAAAATGCCTTGGTGATCATGCCACGAATTAAAATCTCATTTCAATCACGGAAACCTCAAAAGTAGCCTCAGGTTATATCGCAGTCTTAACTTCTTCACGGGAGGTTATCCTACTCAATAATAAGTGGAATACGATTTCAACTTCAAAATCGAGTTTGTTTAAGTCTCAAATGATTTGCGACCCCCCCCCCCCCCCTCCCAAAGTGGAAAAGCCAATGAGTGGCTAAACTCTTCGACCTTCAAGATCTGTAGTCCTTTGATGGGGTCATAGTGATGAATGCTTCCCATGTTCCTTAACATTTTCCCGAGCGAATATGACAGTACCTTTTCAGGTGATTGGTGACTTTGATGAGCTCCTTGATCGACCCGAGTTCTGTCATATTGAGAAGATTAAAACAATCGGAGCGGCTTATATGGCAGCAAGTGGTTTGAATCCAGAGCGGAAACGAAATATGGAACATCCAAAGGAACATCTCTATCAGGCAAGTTCAAGTGTCTTAACTATTTATTTCAATGATATTGTTACAAGGGCGTTAGATGTTTTGGGCGAATAGGTCACTCCGCGACGTCGCCCCGACAGTTCGTATTCACGCGCCAAAGAGGAGGTTTTGCAGACGCGACACGCATTGCGCCGGTCTCGAATTCTGGCGCAAGCATATGTTTCCGTAGCGAAAACATCTGCAGCGCACCAGGCGCGCGAAGGCCAACCATGGCCGTAGCTAGGCAGTC